ATTTTAGAGACTACAGTAAATTTTACACAGAATTATACCTCCATGATATTCATACAATTGACTGAAATGCGATTACTGAGCAATATGTACAGTAAGCAGTTTTCATACAAACTCTGGAGTAACCTGTGAAACTTTTAATATATTTGGAACTGTACCAGTCTCAATCGATTGATTATAAATTTGCGTGAGTGGAACAGATAATGGCTCAGCAGCTATTTTTATTAGTTTTCTTAGGTATGTCAATTGATGATTTGTTTGTATCTAGGTTTTTGAACAAGTTAGAAACCTGAGCTTCAGTGACATTTTCCATAACAAAACTGTTAATTGATTGTGTAGGATTTTCATTGCTTTTGTCAATTTTACTGGCCAAGTTTGGGCCTACAAATGTTTATGAAACTGATCTGCAATATCTTCATTATTGGTATGCATTTTGTTATTTCTAGCTATTCTCAGGGGAGTAGTCTGGCTTTTTGTCTTTCTCTTTATCAGTGTGCCAATAAGTTTCCAAGTATATATAGCTTTTAAATTTCTTTTACAAATCTCAAAGTGCTATTTTGGCTGCTATTTTGGCTGGATCATTAGATAAAAAAATGGGTTTATACATAGTGTGCTTAGATTTAATAGATTTAACGATTCCTCTTGTTAACCAAGGTTTTTTTAAGACCCTTTGTTGATTCCTAGATAGTTTTCTTTTTGGTGCATGTTTTTCAACAATCAATTCAATTGCATGAGTAGTGCGAGCTGTTACTTCATGCAAATCATTGCAACTGACCCAGCCAACTATAGGCCTATTTCAACTCTCTCATCTCTTAGTAAGGTTTTTGAAAAGTTATTTTATAACCAACTATACAAATTTCTTGAAAATATGGCATTTTGTATCAATCTGGATTTAGGAAGGGATACTCCACTGAGCAGGCTATGTTAGAAATTGCTGACTCACTTAAGAAGGCTATGGATAAAAAATTGGTCACCGGAAACTCAATTGGATCGGTTTACTTTCTGCAGCCTTCATGTTTCCGCAGATTCCACCGACTTTCAGTGGATTATTCACTAGATTTCCTGAATGTAGAAACTTTAACAGTCCAGTTTGGAATCATATACCGTTCATTCTATCCTATATATAAAATGTGGACGTTTGTGAGACAACCCTGGACCGTTTCATGCATCCACAATGACCCATTTCCGCTGATACACACAAATCAAACAGATTCTGATTGAAGTGCCTTTTTGGTAAGTTTTTAATAATTTATTAATAATTATCTCTCCATTTTCATATAATATGTACAACAGGCCGCTATCTTCAAAACAGATGGAACACCGATCTATTGGCAAGAAGAGTTTTAAGACGACGAAAGTCTGAAGAAAGTGCCGCATTTCAGTGGTCAAATAAGTTGTAGACTGTCCTTAAATTCTTCTGTCGTTTCCCCGTCGAATGCTTTTTAAAATATCCACAAACAAGTCACGATATTCTTAACACAACAATACTTCGTTTTGTGATTTGTTTTTGCTAGAAATCACGTGATTTTGCATACCTTTGTGATTTCGTTAACAAGTTTGGATACGCTGTAACGCAAGTCCTCTTTGCGTGATCAACATGAAAATATTTTTCCATGTGTAAAATTTAATAAAGCTCAAAAGGAAAAGTTTAATTGAAGATCCTTGGCTTCTTTTATTTTTGTATAATAAAACGTCAATCCAGAACAGTTTTGTCCAGTGTACTATTGTTTATGAACTTGATAAAACACTACTGACCCCATCCTAGAATGGTTTTGTACGTGTTAAAGTTGAAAAAAACAGAGCTAAACCGTTCTTGGTTGCAAAATGGTATAGACCTCCTTGCTCAACTATGAGTTTATTGAATGCATTTGAATCCCTTCTTCAAAACTAGAGTCACAAGGTGTTGAGATTAACATCCTCGGTGACGTAAACTGTGATGTAAGTGCCACCCCATGTGACCACCGTACATCACGATTGCTTGAAATATGTAATATATTTCAATATCAGCAGTTAATAGAACAGCTGACTCGAGTTACAAAGGGCACACCTTCTACTATTAATAGATCTTTTTCCGACCAACGATCCCAATAAGTTCTCTCGTTATGGGGTTTAGATTGGTATTAGCGATCATAATCTAATAAATGCTCTACGAAAATTACCATCCATCAAGGCTACCCTCGAGTTATTAAATCAAGGCACTATAGACATTTTGACCGAACTAAGTTAAGAGAAGATTGAATGCTAAACCCTTGGGAAACTATTGGAAATAACATTAATCCAAATTCTGCCTGGCAAACATGAAAGAATCCTTTCTTTCAGTCTGTAACCTTCACGCTCCTTTGAGAAGTGAAAGGGTGTGAGCCAGGCAAGCACCTTGGATAACATCTGACTTAAAGAAACTTATTTTTGAAAGAGACAAACTTAAAAAGATACTGAAAAGAACTGGCTTGACTACAAAAGTATTAGACATAAAATTAATTACGAAATTAAAAAGTTCTGCCAAGGAAGAATACTATAGAGATTACTTTGGAGAAAACTCAAAGAACCTAAATCAGACATGAAAGAAATTAACAATTTACTGCTTAATAATCTGAGTACAACGTCAATTAAAAACATAGAATACAACAACACAAATTATACTACCCCAGATGATATTGGGAATGCTTCTCCCCAAGGCAGCTATCAGACTCCCCTGTTCAGATGGGGGCGTAAGGGGGGTACGAATACCGTAATACCGCACATGGTAGCGCGAGAATACCGCAATACCGCATCAAAATTTAGCCAAATACCGAAACCGCAGTTACAAATGGGAAAAAGTTGACATTGTCAATACTACAAATCCTCCTTTCAAATAGAAATAATACTTTTATGTCAGTGTTTCCAAATCATGGTGCGTCGATGTCAATCGTACGATAAACATAAGATCATCGCACTCGTTTAACATTGTTCCTTACATGTATGCGTTTACTTAAATGATACAACTGGAGTTTTCTAGTATCACTTTATTGCCCCCGCAGGGATTTCGCCCATGCAGAGGCGAAATCCCGAGGAGGCACCCTAGTAGCTCGCTCGGACAGTACTTACAGTTCAAATATACAGTCAGTATACTAGAAAAAATCTCGATTTGCTCGAACTGGGGCCGCGAGGAGTCGGTAGGTAATGATGACGTTTCTATTGTTTGTGCCCGCAAGTACGAAATGGTTAGGATGACGTAAAGACAGAAAATCCCGAAGGGACCGCTCAGGTAGATTTTGTGACATTTACTGTGCAGTCATACTTCCGTACTCTTTTGCGTTTTGCAGTGACATTCTGTGGAGCAGTTGGTTTGAAAGTTATGGACCAAAAAACACTCGTTAAGCGCAGGGGAGGTTATAAGGTGCGTTAAACTGTGTATATATAAACACTTGGAGAGTTTACCAGACACGAGTTCACAAATCTTTGATTTATATTGCAAACCTTGCCAGACACTCTTTGTCTCTCTTTGACCGGAATAAGACTCGGCCCCAAACAAGCAAGACGAGTGAACAACGGCCAGCTTATCACTAGCAGATTGATGGACATTTACAGAAATTCGCCGACAATCAAATTCTGTGCAGACTTATTCCCTGCTTACAGATGTCCTTCCGTCATAAAGTTACAAATAAGACTAGAATGTGCTAGCGTGGATCGATCAAACGTTCTTTTAATTTCTAAGACTTACTTTCCGGCAAATAAAATGAACTGAAAGTAAAAAGTGAAAGAGAAATAGCGAAAAATTCAACCTCTAATTAAATCTTTTCTTATGGTTTAGAATAAACTACTGTCGAAGCTGAGAATGTTTTGATCAAAGCTGTGTAAATCGAGCTGAAACTGTGCATGGAACCTTGCGTTTCCTGTATTTATCTCACCTATTGTATGGAATGTGTGTGAAAATCTTCATTATGAATCAGTATATTCAATGAGCTGCACAACCAGCAAGAATACTCAGTATTGACCGACAATATACAGAACGGGGGCAGCTGTAGTGTCAACTATTACTAGTATATTACTGACCTGCCCATATGATGGGCTCCTGACCTGGATCATAAACGGACGGATGACAGTTGACTCTTATGAGGTTGTTTCAGATTCACAGTTAACTCGGTTCTGTGTTGAGGGCTTCAACACGTCGACCCTAACTGGCTTTTTGGATTCGAAGGGCACACAGCACCGGGGGGGCGGTACTCCCTTGCAAGAGGCTGATAGGGATATGCCGCTTGATGGGGTCGCATTTTCACGACTGGAGTGACTATAATGGGGTCGCATTTTCAATAGATTTACTAGAATGGGGTCGAAAATTTTCGGATTTTTGGGATAGGTAGGGATTCAAATGGGAAGATTCTCCGTTAAAGAATCAGGAAGTGGTTGTTTATTAAATTTAACAATAAGCTCGCATTGACCGCATTACATTCCGCCGCATGAAGCTAATTAATGAAGGCGTGCGCGGGCGAGGATTGGGGCGGGAGCTGCTTCGCCGCTCACAGTCGTGCTGCCGACAAAGCTATGTAAAACTGTCATGGGGTACTTGGGTTAATTTTTGCTTGGTATGTGCCTCTGGCCCATCCGAGCCCCTACCCCATTATAGTCTATTCTGTGGCCAATTATAGACCCCATCTTAGTCACTTTTGAGCAAATATTTAATCTCAACTTGGTCACTTTCTATTTTTTTTAATTGACCATGTATTAGATTGAATGAAGAACACTTTACTTTTCATCTACAATACAAACATTCTGGTACCTTTGCTAACCGTAAATATGAAGAACTGTTTTAAGCCAAAAAAGCAGAACATGTGCGACCCCATTCTGGTAACTCTCTAAAAATGCGACTCCATCCAGCGGCACATCCTCATTAGCCTCTTATCAGGAAGTACCCCCCCTCCCGGCCGCCATGGTACGTAGGCTAAGCACACACGAATACTAGTACATTCTATATTCCTGCATGCACAACGAGAATGACGTGTATTAATTTTTAGATCACATCATCT